TGCCCAGGTGGGTCTCGAACCTGCAGGCTCAGGCAATCCACTCACCTCAACCTCCCAAGGCGCGGGATTACAGGCTGAGCCACCGAGCCCGGCACAAATTTTTATTAAACTGTTATACTTTTTAGGTAACGTTGGCCTTAACCAGACTGACAACAGTTTTTCAGGTCCATAAATAACTGGATTGTTATTTATTACCACTTTCTCTTAAATCGTAATACTAGCTCTCAGTTTTGGTTTGCTTTGCTTTTCCTTGTATCTTCAAGATGGGTGCTTAGATCCTAACTTTACTAAGTCCTTGCATAGTCCAGAATACTTCTGCAGCTTTGGGAACCTATCTGCAACTAGGCTGGGTATCTTACTCCTAGGATGCAACTATTTCCATATAACTCCGTAGTGCTTGCTCTATCATCTTTTGGCATTTTATTGTTATGAAAGAGAGAAATGAGGCATATTTTTAAAATCTTTTTTGTTTACTACTTTTTTCTGCCTGGATTATTTATTATTTTTATTATTTATTTATTTATTTTGAATTGGTGCTTCATTCTGTCACCTAGACTGGAGTGCAGTGGCATGATTACAACTCACCACAGGCTCAACCTCCACAACCTCCAGTAGCTGGGACTAAAGGTACAAACGGTACACACCACCACATCTGGCTAATTTTTACATTTTTTTGTAGTGATGAGGTCTCACTATGTTGCCTGGGTTGGGCTCAAGCAATCCTCCCACCTCAACCTTTCAAAGCGCTGGGATTATAGGCATGAGCAATAGTGCCTGGATTTTTTTATTCTTAGGCTCCAAAAAATGTTTTCTATACTGCTTCTACCTGGATAGCTCTTTTACTGATTTTGCCTAAAACACAATGAGCCTTTCATATCTACCTGGATTATCCTCCTTCCTCTAAGAAAAGTTTTCTTTTATGATGACTTTAATTTTTTCTTCTGTTCCAGTTGTCCTGATCTTTTCTTTAAGAAAAAAAATGCCTCCAAACCTGGCGCAGTGGCTCACACTTATAATCCCAGCACTTTGGGAGGCTGAAGCAAGAGAATTGCCTGTGCTCTCAGGTTTGAGACCAGCCTGGGTAACATGGTCAGATCTCATCTCTACAATAAATAAAAAAATTAGCCGGGCATGGTGGTGCGCACTTGCCTCGGCCTCCCAAAGTGCTTACAGGCTGAGCCAACAAGGCCAGCCAACACTAGAATTTAAAACGTCTTCTTGGCCAGGCATAGTGGCTCACGCCTGTAATCCCAACACTTTGGAAAGTGCAGGAGAATTGCTTGAGGCCAGGAGTTCAAGACCAGCCTGGGCAACATAACAAGACCCTGTCTCTATATTAAAATTTAAAAAGACTGGCCGGGTGCGGTTGGGGCTGTGGTAGCCATGAGCATGCCACTGCACTCCAGCCTGAGTGACAGAGTGAGACTCTAACTCAAAAAAATAAATAAATAAAATAAAATTTAAAAGAAACATTAACAAAAATTTCGTCTGTAAGGAAAAACTGTCCCTTTATCCCCCTTATTTATTCAATCATGTTTCTTTATCAATATAGAAAGATATTAATTTTTAATAAAAAAACCAGTAAGGTTCCATGATAAGCACAGTTCTCTTCCATCTAAAATAACCATGCCTCAAGCAAAGCACCTGTGACAAAAATCCCCAAGTAGTATGTTTTTTGACAGCTCAGTTTGCTGATCACAGTGATCAGAGCAGCTGTCCCTACTTGAGAGAGATGTTGTCATCCACCCAAGTGACCCTGGGACCCCACTTACTGTAGCCCATCAAAATGAGTGCCCCTACAAGCATGATCAGAGTCTGCAGAGCATCCGTGTAGATCACAGCAGCCAGGCCACCTAGGGGTATGAGTATTGAGATAAGAGTCAGGTAGTCTGATGGGGAGAGTTACTCTGGGTCCCAAAAGGAACCTAGGAGGTCAAGATCTGACAGCTTTCTTAGTATTGACTGATTGCAAAGATGGCAACAATAACTCCTCTTCATGTGCAGGCCGATTTTGCAATGCGATTTCACTGCTCCTTTCATGTCGAAGTGAAGTTAATTTCTCTACCTCTTAAATGTGGACTTGTCCATGTGACTTGCTTTGACCAATAGAATATGGCAGAAGTGATATTGTGCAGCACCAAGTTTAGGCCTCAAGGGGCCCTGAAGCTTCCTCGCTTACTCTCATGCTGCCCTGAGACCACCATACTTTAAGAAGCTCAGTCTAGCCGGGCATAGTGGCTCATGCCTGTAATGCCAGCACTTTGGGAGGTGGAGGCAAGAGGATTGCCTGTGCCCAGGGGTTCGAGACCAGCCTGGGCAACTTGATGAGACCTTGTCTCTACAGTGAATTAAAAATTTAGCCAGACATGGTGGCGCACACCTGTGGTTTCAGCTACTTGGAAGGCTGAGGCAGAGGGATCACCTGAACCCAGCAGCTCGAGGCTGTGGTGGCTGTGAGCATGTCACTGCACTCCAGCCTGGGTGACAGAGTGAGAC